TTTCTGAATGGAGACTTACAGGAAGAGGTCTACATGCAGTTGCCTCTTGGATTTTATGATACAGAGACAGGTAAGAAGGTTTGCCAACTAAACAAGGCATTGTATGGTTTGAAGCAGTCACCTAGAGCCTAGTTTCTAGCCCTTGGAAAATTCGGTTATGTACAGGCCCAACCAGATCACACACTGTTCATTAAACGGGTGACTCCTCTCTGACCCTGCTTGCTGTATATGTGGATGATATTGTAGTGACAGGAAATAATAGTAGTGAGATTGAGTCCCTCAAACAACTCCATCAAGAGTTTGAGGTGAAAGATCTTGGTACACTACGGTACTTTTTGGGTATTGAGGTTGCTAGATCTAAACAAGGGATCTTTATCTCTCAGAGAAAATATGTTCTGGATCTGWTGGCGGAAACTGGAAAGTTAGGTGTTAAGCCTGCTGATACACCCATTGAACAGAATCATAAGATTAGTGCAGAGGGCGGGGAGCCTCTTGAAGACAAAGTTATGTTCCAACGGTTGGTTGGAAAGCTCCTATATCTCTGCCTCACTCGGCCAGATATCAGTTATGTAGTTAGTGTTGTTAGATAGTACATGCATTCCCCTTGAGCTACTCATCTTCTTGCGGTTGAGAGAATATTAGCATACTTGAAGAGATGCCCGGGTAGAGGTATACTGTTCAAGAACAATAATCACATGAGGGTGGAGGTCTATACAGATGCCGATTGGGCTGGGAGTGCTGATGACAGGAGGTCCACCTTTGGATATTGTGCCCTTGTGGGAGGTAACCTTGTCTCTTGGAGGAGTAAGAAACAGAGTGTTGTTTCCCGCTCTAGTGCTGAAGCTAAATACAAATCAATGGCCAATGGAGTGGCTGAGATCCTATGGCTGAGATCACTACTTGAAGAGTTGGGTATTGATTATGAGAAGCCCTTGATGCTGTATTGTGATAATCAGGCGGCTATTAATATAACCCACAATCCGGTGCAACATGACCGAACTAAGCATATTGAAGTTGATCGACATTTTGTGCGAGAGAGGGTCTCCTCACAAGAAGTGTGTCTCCCGTATATCACATCCAACATGCAGCTCGCAGATATCCTCACCAAGGCTATACCAAGGAAGAAGTTAGAGTCAGACCTATCCAAGTTGGGAATGACAAATATCTATTCCCAACTTGAGGGGGAGTGTAGAGAACACTGATGTGGGCCCCACAACTATGGTCCCCACTGTGTTCGTAAAGCAGTATGCGTAATTATTTGTTTCAGTCATGGTAGTATCAGTTGGTGATCAGTTTGTTATTTATTTCAGTTTTTATTTGCTTTATTTGTCATGTAAGTACTGAGGGCAGATTTGTCATTTTCTCTATGTACTGGACATGACCTATAAATACTAAGAGAGTGTTGGCGGCAGATCTATCAGAATCTGTCCTTTCTTTCAAACCTTTGTGTTCTCCAGTTCTTCTCCTCTCTTTTCTCTCTTTCTCTTGCTTTTCTTCTACTTTTCCTAATCTGAAATCTATTAGGGTTCAAGGCTGATTGTAGTCTTGATCGTCTACTTTATCTAATCATCAATTCCTTGTTGGTTGTTTTAGGAAACCATTTTTTAAAAATTATGATGGTTTGAATGAAATCTTAAATTTTAAATTTTAAATATATAGTCTATCAACGATATCTGAAATATTGCTGACATATTGGCAAAATATCGGGGATATTTGGAAAAAAAAAAGATTCCTGGAAGATTTTGTATTGCCGCCCAGCAAATGGGGATATTTCAGGGATATATCGCCAAATATTGTTGATATTGTGAACCATGATCATAAACTGTACTAGTTTGTGAAGGGAATAATAGAGACTGTACGACCAGTAGACCTCATTCTGGATCAACACAACACAAGGTTCAAAGTATCAATACACCTAATATGCACTAACCTGCATATTGGGTGTTTTGACTGACCATAACTTTTTTTTTTATTTAGTTTTCTTTTTTCAGAATTTGGTCAGGGGTGCAGTCTTAGGCTTGCTACCCACTGAAACTGGTCAAAAACCCAAAAGACCCTTATTTAGAGTATCATTTACTTGCCGATATGGGCCAATACATTGTGAAATTTTGATCCTTGGATCTATAGACAAGAAGAAAGGGAGAATGGAACCTTGCACAGAAAATTGAGGTGTGGAAAAACTTATTTCCATAAATTCTTTATTCCCATGCTTTCATGTAACCCTTGTAAAACATTAATTATGGAAAGTGCCTTAGCATGAGATGGAACATTAGACCACGGTCATGAGAAGACTTGGAAATAGGGGTGATCATTTTCAGCCTGGCCCACAAAGCCCAGCCCAGAAATTCTAGGCTGGGGCCTGGGTTTTGTGTTCATGTCCTGCCCATCTCACACATATTTATATTTATATTAATTATACGTATTTGTATGTGTTATTTTATGTTATGTATGATATTTTATATTATAAAATGTATAAAATAATTTTTATGAACATATTATATGACATATAGTATAAAATATTATATGTATTCAATATTTTGTATATAAAATTCATAGGCCCGGAATCAGGCCAGGCCTGGCCCTAGGCTATAGCATTTATCACAGATGCTAAGCCTGGCCCAGGCCTGGTCCATGATAACCTCTACTTGGAAAAGATTCTCTCTTTCTGCCAACCAATCATAACCATCTTTCTTCACATTGTGAAATATAGTTACCTATCTATATTTCACAATGGTAAATTTTTAAGATACTTCTTGTGTCCAATCCACTTTGCATTTGAAAATAAAAAATAACATTTGGGATTTTGAGTGAGGGTTGGGAGAATTAATACTCAAAAAAACTTGCTGTCAAGGGTTCTGTCATTTCTTTCCATTCAGAAGTGGCAAATATATGCATTGAACACAACCCTCTTTCTTCATCATATCTATTTATAAAAGCAGTAATGCACCAAGTTCAGCCCATTATCCCAGATTCAAGCACTTCTTCAAAGGTAGCCCAACATCCACACAGACACAGATAGATGTTGAGTTGTTGACCTTGTGATAAAAAGTTGAGCCTGCAGACATTCATTAATTGTCTGAAACTACTTTTTTAAGGTCGTATCATTTATTTCATCAATACATTTCTCTTAACCACCCCAGTTTCTGGTATTTATAGACTTTAGAAAAGCTAAATTCCAATATAGCAATATGAAGCCACATCCAAGTAATGGATGATTGTGGTTTTCAATAGCTTGGCCATAGTAACGCATTCCCTCTATTTTTTGTCTTATCTTCCTCTTTTGTCAAAGGATTTTTCTTTTTATGATTTTGTAATTAGATTCTTGTTCCTACTTGAGTCACATGCAGAATACTTTTACATACCTGCCATTATGATTTATCAGATTTTAGTAACATGCTAAACAATTTCAAATAACTCTGAATTTTCTGAATGATAAGCTTGTGTTAAATAAATAAAATAGTGCACCTTGATTATAACAACTGTTGTTGCTTATCTTTGTGCTTCCCCTGATATTTAATTAGGCTGACTATGGAACCCGATTTAATAAATTCAATCTGTTCAGAACAGGTGAAGGTACTTGCTCTCACTGATCATGATACCATGTCTGGCATCCCTGAAGCCCTAGAAGCTGCTCACAAATTTGGCATCAGGATCATTCCAGGCGTTGAAATTAGTACAATATTCTCTCCAAGGTCATAGAGCTTCTAGATTTTTATGAGTTACAGGGATTTTTTTATTGAGTTATACTTTCAAATATTTTTGTGGTGGAATTATTTTCAAATATTTAGGACTGTCATTAAATACCACAGTTAATTCTCGGAAACGATTTCTAATATTGCAAGTGGATATGAATCACTAACAGAGGAGAGTCTGAATCTGAGGAACCAGTTCACATCCTTGCATATTATAGCAGCTGTGGGCCCACAAAATTAGAAGAACTAGAGAATTGTTTGGCTAACATAAGAGATGGGCGTTATATCCGTGCAAAGAATATAGTTTCAAAGCTGAACAACCTCAAGATGCCTCTTAAATGGGAGCATGTTGCCAGGATTGCCGGGAATGGAGTAGCTCCTGGAAGATTGCATGTGGCTCGTGCCATGGTTGAAGCAGGGCATGTGGAGAATCTGAAGCAAGCCTTTAACCGATATCTATATGATGGTGGACCTGCCTACTCTACGTAAGAATCAAAGCCTCTAGCTAAATCTTAGTTTGGTTTCAATGCTCCATTCACTAACTACTGGCCATCTGGGACATGAACACTCAAAAGGAGTTGTGGAAGTTATTAGAAAAAAAAAAGATGAAATGTGGAACAGTGCAAAAAGTGATTGATTCTGCCTTTTGACATGGTTCTGTTTCTGGAATTGAATTTTTGATAACATATGAACTTCGTTTTGTTCATTATACAGCGGTAATGAACTACTTGCAGAGGAAGCAGTGGAACTGATATGTCGGACAGGAGGTGTGGCAGCTTTAGCTCATCCCTGGGCCTTGAAGAATCCTGTTGCAGTTATCAGGAGGCTGAAAGATGCAGGGCTTCATGGAATAGAAGTTTACAGAAGTGATGGAAAACTGGCAAGTATGAAACACAATCCAGAAAATACTGATAAAAAACACAATCCAGAAAAGAAAGCTTCTTTTTTCTTTTGCCCATTAAATCCTTGGCTCCCAGGTCAAGAAGCCAAAAAAGGGGAATCCGGTCTAATGCATGACAAAGTGGATTTTAACTCTTGTGATTGATCTATAACCGATTTGGGCTCCAAGCAATGTTCTGAAAATTGTAATTGTATTGTAAATTATAGAGAAAGTTTAATCGAATTGAATCATGAACCATATAGTAAATCGTAAGATTATTTCTTCTTTTTGAAAACTTGTCAAAAAATTAAATATAGATAATAATTACATGCTAAATATATAGAAAAGTAATTCTATCCTATTTCTAATCCATATATGTACCTAAAACAATAGAGTTTGCCACTTCTAGAATATAATTCTAAGATGATATAATCAAATTTGACTTGAAAGTCAAATAATCCACATACAGTGGCTACATATGATTGGAAAATAAACTCAATATATGGACTTCACTTAAAATCAATTTCTAGTAAGGTCTGTACAATGCCATGTTCTTTTTTTTGTAATAAGATGCACAATGTCATGTTCAACTGACCAATCAATCTGATATGAGTTACCTGTGCTAAATAATGCCAATGTGTTTATCTTCCAAGTATAATATACTGAGAAGTAATGGTTTGGAAAAAAAATCTGATTGGTTCACTTCATGTATTTAAGCTTGCACTTTTTTTAACCATATCATGCAGAAAAAGAAATCAAATGGAAAATAAACAATATGGTTTAATTGATGAAAAATAAACAATTTGGGTTCTCATTGAGACCAATCTGCTTCTTAATGGTGCTATTATCTAGGTAGTCAACCTGTCTTCTTGTACTTGGAGTCAGGTCATTCTTCTCTATCCATTACAAGGGTGACCACTATTTTCAAGTTGTCTATTCTCACCTATGGTTTATTTACTGTGATCCTTAAAATCTCTGGTGTTGGTAACCTTTTATACAAGGTGCAAAGAGTTCACTTGAAAGGGGAAAAAAAAGAAAGTGGGCGTGGGGGGAGGTTGACAAGCAAGCTCAAAGTTGGATTGGAAAGTTGTATATGCGGCATTATGTAGCATCTTTATAGTATTGTTAACTAATCTACAATAGGTTATGACACATTATGATATTGAACAATTAGTTACCATGTATGTGGAAACAGTATAATATCTGACCATCATAGTACCACAATGATTGCATTATGGCATGATTTGGAATGACACTTTAAACCGTTTTTTTTTTTTTTTTTTAAAAAAAAGTTAATTATCTGGCATGGTGAAGGAAACAAATCAAATGTGAAGCAGGGTTGGACCTTTTTCTGGAATTGTTGCAGTTGTGAATTGTTGTTGTTGATACTCAAAATATTGAAAAGAAATAGGTTTAACCAGTGATTGAAGGTGTAGAAGTTGCAAGTTCTAGTATATAGTATGGTAGAAGTAGAAAACCAAAGGGAAACATTGACATGATTTAAAATGATCAACAATATTGGACTGGTATATTGCTTTCACCTACTACAATATTAGTACAATGATCTGCAAATAAGCTGATGGAGTTTCTGCTTTCCCTTCCAAAGAGAAAAAAATGTTACATAAAGCATCTTCACTAGAGTGCATACATTGTTGATACCATATTGTATTACATCCTTCTGATGGATGATCTTTTTTTTCCCTAATTGTTTGGTTTTGGTCTTGTTCACAGCATTCAGTGACTTGGCAGACTCCTATGAACTTTTGAAGCTTGGAGGATCTGACTTCCATGGTAGAAGAGGTCAAGATGAGTCTGACTTGGGAAGTGTGAATCTTCCTGTGTTAGCTTTGCATGAGTTCCTTAAGGTGGCTCGCCCTATTTGGTGCAGTTCAATCAAGGAAACACTGCAGAGTTTCGCTGAAGAACCATCAGATTCAAACCTAGAGAGGATTGTGAAGTTTGGGGAGATCAGATTTCTTAAGGGTGGTTTGACTTCAAACTGTGACAAGGATTTACTTGATCTATGCCTCTCCTCCTGGTTGACAAATGAAGAGAGACAAACAATTGATGTTGAGACCCTCAGGTTGAAGCTTTCCCAGACTAACATAAATCAGAGAAGCATTCAGGTATCTGTGATGAGCTGACACTTTTCATCCGGTTACAGTTTCTAATTTATTTCATACGTTTTGTTTCTGGGGTGAACTCTTCCAAATTTACCAAAAAATCTTTGTTTTCTTCCAGTTTAGGTGGAATACTTGTTTTGTACTCTTAGTTCTTTTCTTTGTTATTCCTTTTCTTAAAATTATTTGATTTTTCTTATTTTTTTGTCATTTGGTTGGAAGAAATCACAAAGATGCAGAAAGTGACGGATGTCCCAGTTTGTTCCTTGTTCTGATCCTGTATTTTATTTTGGGTAGGCAAGAATTTTTTTGTTTTTTCAAATTTGAGATTGCTAATACAGATTGTCTGATGATGTTCCATACCCTGCAATTTTTTTTTTGGTAAATACCCTGCAAATTATTTCAATGTGATTGGAGGGTTGGAATTAAGATGAAGAGGGTTGTGGTTCTTCCACCTGTTCTGACTGTTATTAGGGACTAGGACTGCACTCAGCAGTAGTACAGTATTGGGTTCCAAAATGTACTGGGTAATGTCTTTTTCTTTTTGGTAGAGACTGGGGTAATGTCTTCTGTTGTTGCATTGCAGTGTTCAAATATATTAGATTTACATCACTCCGGATCTCCACAAGACACCACTGCCGTGTATTGGGAACATCTCTCATGAATGACGAGGGATATATTCCCAATGTGCGCTTGTAGTATTTGTGGGTATTGAAGTTGGAACAGCTTGTGGGTAGGAGATCTGAGCTTTTCTTCCCTATATAGCACATCTGCACAAGTGCACGTACTGAAAGGATCCGTTGTGGGTTAAACAAAATTTACGTCCATTTCAGGGTTTCAAGGAATGATGATCTCAGTATTTTCTTGTGTTGGTGAGAATTGCGGATTCAAACAAGGTCCAAGGTATCAATAAGATATGGATCCTTTTCTAATTCTGAGGGGTATGTATGATACACCCATTTGATTTTGACGCATCAAGCTCATTACACCATCCTTTGTACTAGCTCCATACGGATTAGCCATCTGATAACAAGTGTTTTTGGTGGCATTTTTGTTTACCTCAAATCTGGAATATCTCCCTATAAATGACAACATGCAAGTATGGGAGATGCCTCCAATGAGGCTATAGGTCCTACCCACAAGAACTCTACCACAGTTGTACATTTGGAACATCTCTCTATGAATGACAACATACTAAGTGTGGGAGATGCTCATAATGTGTGGCTATAGTTTCCATTCTCCTGTGGGTAGGAGATCCGAACACATCAATTACTGGGTTTTCGATCTTTTGAATTTTCAAAATTTATGGGGTTTCTTGAGTCCAATTGCAACTACAAGTCGGTGGATTGCAGTTACATGTCTGATTGGGGGAGACCGATAACATTAATTCACTGATTTTTACCTTAAATGCTTCTCATTCAAGGTAAGGCTCGATATATATAGTATTATCATGTTGTTGCGAACTTGCTCAAATCTAATGATTGATGGGTTCTCATTCTATAAGGTTATATCAGGTTTGATAGTGTGGGTTTTTGTACATCATCTATATGGTTGAGACTTGAGATTGATATATCACTTCTATGGCTTGGATGATTTGATAGCGTGCATATGGGTATTGATGGAAGGGTAATGAAATGATCGTTTGTTATAACTTAGTGGATGCCACATTCCCTCAAAACACAGAGATAATTATAATTTTACCTAAAAACTATATGAAATGAATCTTAGATATCAGATCAGATATTTGTCATTAACCAAATGAGTAGTTTTCTGAAGCTGATTCTTGACATATAAATTTAATCCATCAGGTGTCACCGGCTTATTGGCAAGTTACTAGATTCAGAATCCCATTTTTACCCCCTTTTTCCCTCGTGGCAAATCGTTTTTTAATTTTTCTTTTTGGCATCTGTTGGATTTAATTTCATTTTTCAGTATGGCAGTTAGGTATCATAACACTATATTCGTTCTTATCCATATAAAAAAAAAAGAGAAAACAAACAATTAATTAGTTCTTGAGTACGGTATATTAAAATTGATTTGATGATGCAAGCTTCTAAATTTTTCCAAGTCTCAACTCCCAACTGATACCTCTATCTTGTAGAGTCATATTATTTAATCCCAAGGAAATGTCGGCAATTTGAATAATAAAAAAAAAGAACTGACGTATAAAGAGTAAGGGTCCGTTTGGTTGGTAGTCAGAATCGGAATCGAAATTCACTAGAATTGGAATTAGAAAGGTTCATTTCCATTGTCTGTTTGGTTCAAACAGGAATGAGAATGTGAACTAAAATCAGCAGGAATGGGATTTCATTCCCAAGGGAGGGGCAGGGAATGGCCATTCCCTCAAATGGAAGAATGCCATTCCAGTAGAAATGAGAATGAGATTCTGATTTCCCCAACTAAACAGTTGGAATCGGAATAGCCCATTTTGATTCCGATTCCAGACCCCTATTCCTGCAAATCAAACAGGCCCTAAGATTTCATAGGAATCGATCAACACCATTAGCGTTTTCTTCGGAAAAAAAAATCTGACATCTTGAACGTTGGGTAACCTGACAGTGTTTTTCAGAGTCACCAACCGTGAGGTGGCATTGTGGCAACCATGTAGAGCAAGAATATAAACATTCCAGAGTCTTAGCAAATATAAACAAGGAAACCCTATTTGTTTGCTTTCCAACAAAGACCACAAGAGCATATTTTCGCTTTTAATTTTATTTTTTGTATTTAGTGGGCAATCCTTACTCTTCGGAGCGCTCTTTGGAACCTCTCCGGAAATGCAAACAAGATGTAAATTCCTCCAGATGTTTTCATGACTGTATAGTGTAATGTCACTTTTACTAAAAATCTATGCTGCTGAAAAGACATCATACCCTAAGGGCTTTGATCAATCAAAATCCCTATGAATTTGATAAATAATCATCTCATTGGTTATCACTTTTATGATACCAGTTGATTGGTTATAAGTTTTTCCGATATCACGTCTTTTTGGTATATTAGTTGAATCTATTAGAGATAATTTACTTAGACACTCCAATAGTTTCACATATATATTAAAACCCATTTTATAATTTGCATATTACTAAAACACCTTTATAGTTTGTAATTTATTTACTTCATCGGTGAAAAATGTGAAAGAGCATTGGTCTAAGTTGATTTTCAGTTCTTCATCATTTTCAACTTCATTGTACGCCTCAATTCAAAGCATTGGATGGCCAATCTCTACTGGAATGACGGCCTCAGTGCTATAAGTTAAGTTGAACAGGGCCTCACCGTGTTGGTCTGAGGTGTCGTTCGATAAACCCATAGGTCGTTGTATAACTTGTCGGTCCAGAGGCTTTTGGCTCTGTTAAGCCTCATCTTCAGCCCATCCAAAATTGTCCTATTGGTGACATCGGCTAAGCTGTTGGATTGGGGGTAGTCTACTGAGTTGTACTGCTGCTTGATGCCGAAGCTGGCACACCATTCTCTAAACCTGACGTTGTCGAATTGCTTGCCGTTGTTAGTAACGAGAATGTGGAGGATGTCGAAGCAACAAATGATATTCTTCCAAAAGAAATTTTAGATCATCTTCACTATGATAGTGGCTAAGGGATTGGCTTCGACCCACCTAGTAAGGTAATCAATGGCGATGATGAGGTACTTTCTGTTCCCAATGGCTTGAGGGAAGGGGCTGAGGAGATCCATTCCCCACTTCATGAAGGGCCATGGACTGTTAAGGGTTGAGAGGGTTGTGGTTGGCCGATGAGAGATGTTGGAGTGTCTCTAGCATCGGTCACACTTCTACACTAGCTTAGCTGCATCCTTCTGAACTATTGGCCAAAAATACCTTTGCCTTAGTGATTTTTTTGGGCCAAGGTTCCGCCTCCAAGGTGGTTGCCACAAATGCCTTCATTGGATCTCTTAGAGCACATACTCGCCCTCTTCTTGACGAAGGCATCGGAGGTAGGGCAAAGTGCAAGATCTTCTATACAACTTCCCTTTAAGTAGAGTGTAGTAGGCTGCCTGCTATCGAACTCGTCTTGCTTCATTTTTGTCAGCGGGCAATTGCTCATGTTGCAGGTAGGCGAGGATGGGGTCTATCCAACAAGGGTCAGCTTGTACTGGGAGCACTTGAACTTCTTTGATGCTGGGTCACGCTAGCTTCTCAATACAGATAGTGTGGTTGAGGGCTAGACCTTATGTGCTTGCCAATTTAGATAGGGCGTTGGCTCTCATGTTCTTGGCCCGTGGGACTTGTGTCAAGGCAAAGCGGTGAAAGTGGTGGGCAAGGTTTTGCATTTTGGCTAAGTACTTGGCCATGTTGGGTTCTTTGGCCTCGTATTCAACGTTCACTTGGTTCACCACTAGCTAGGAGTCGCTGAAGACTTCAATATGTTAGGCACCGATGTTTTTGGAAAGTTGTAATCTGGCGAGCAAGGCCTCATACTTAGCTTAATTGTTAGAGGCCAAGAAGTCAAATCTCAACGCATACTCTACTTCATTGTCATTTAGTCGAGGAGTACAAGGCCTGCTCCACTTCCCTTAGCATTGGAGGATCCATCCACGAACAATTTCCAGGTCGGTCGGGGTCCCTCATCCTCTACGAGAACCGGGCTGATGGCTCTGTTGAATGTGCACTCCACCAAGAAATCCATTAAGACTTGTGCTTTGATTGCAGGCCTCGACTGGTACTGCAGGTCGAATTTGGATAGCTTAATAGCCCATTTGGTCAGCTGGTCTGAGGTCTCAAGTTTGGAGAGGACAGACTTGAGGGGTTGACTAGTCAAGACTGTGATGCTGTGGGCTTGAAAGTATGGCCTGAGTTTCCTGGTCAAAACCACTAGGGTGAAGGCTAACTTCTCCACCTCGGGGTAGCGGATCTCGGCATCGTAGAGGACTTTGTTGACAGTATATGCTTTTGTACTCCATCTTCTTCTCTTACCAGAACATAATTGATAGCCTCGTCTCTGGTTGAGAGGTATAGGGACAACACGTCACCTAGAAGCGGCTGAGTGCGTAGAGGGGGCGAGGCGAGGTAAGACTTCAGCTCGTCAAATGCACGTTGGCAATCTTCGGTCCACTGGAAGTCTTTCAGTTTCTTGATGGCTCGGAAGAAAGGTAGACAACGGTCAACCAATTTTGACATGAATTGGCTGAGGGCAGCCACCCAGCCAGTAAGTTTTTGAGTTTCTTTAATTGACCGAGGTGGTTCCATGTCAAGGATGGCCTGAATTTTCTCTAGGTTGGCCTCAATTCTCCACTGTGTGATCATGAATCCCAAGAACTTGCCTTAGGTGACGCCGAAGGCATATTTGTTGGGGTTTAGCTTCATGTTGTACTTCCTCAATGTTGCAAAGGTCTCAACTAGGTCTGAGGTGAGCTGATCGGCTTTCAGGCTCTTGGCCACCATGTCATCCACATGGGTCTGAGGTGGCTCCGATGTTTTTGAGGTCGAAGGGCATGACCTTATAGCAGTAGGTGCCATGCTCAATGATAAATGAGGTCTTCTCCTCGTCCTCGGCATGCATCTTGATCTGATTGTCTCCAGAGAAGGCATCCATGAAGCTCAGTAACTCGTACCCTGTGGTGGCGTTGACGAGGTGGTCGATCCTCAGCAAAGTTAAACTGTCTTTGGGGCAGGTTCGGTTGTGGTCTGTGAAGTCAACACAGATTCACCATTTCCTGTTAGCTTGTCAACTTCATCTCCGATGGCTTTCCAACTTTCCAATGCAAAGTTCATCTTTTTCTACCGAACTATCTTACAACTCAAGTCCACACAAAGCCTGTGAGTAATGACCGAAGGGTCAATTCTGGGCATGTCAGTGACAGACCAAGCAAAGACGTTGGCATTAGTTTTGAGGAATCTTACTAGTTCGGAAAGGGTATCAAGAGGAAGGTTGGACTCGATGCACACCGTCTTCTCGGGCTCATCCTCATCTAGGGTAACTGAGACGAGGTCCTCGGCTGGTTGGCCTTGGGTCATTGGCTCACCCCTGAGTTCGAGCCCCTCCAATGGAAAACCTTCTTTGTTCTTTCCCTTTAGTGCTGCCACATAGCATTGTTAGGCTATTTGCTAATCCTCGTGAATAACTCTGACGCTGTGTTCGATGGAAAATTTGAGGGCGAGGTGGTAGGAAGAGATGGCTGCCTTAAGTGCGTAAAGGGTTAGTTGGCGAATGATGGCGTTGTATGGGGAGCCGATCTTCACGACTAGGAGCTCGGTCATCCTTGTCACCTGCCGAGGCTCCGTTCCTACTGTGACTGGTAAGGTAATTCTTCTCTTTGGTTTGATGATGTTCCCGGAGAAGCCGATGAGTGGCACGTCGGTCGGCTAAAGGCGTTCCGCAGTCAGGTTCATCCTCATCGATGATCCATTGTCGATGAGGATCATTTTTACCATGAAGTTGGTGATGGTCATCATCACCACCTATGCACCGTCGTGGGGGCACCAGTACCCCTTTTAGGTCAGCGTCCAAAAAGGAGATGACCTCGT